TATATTTAAAGAAAGCCATCCTTGCAGTGAATTGCAGCAATGAAGTCACACAACTCTTTGGTGAAATAAGGAAGCTGATTTTCTTGTTAATGGGGAAATTCATCACTAATGGAGGTTTTCAGTGACTGTTTCTTTCCAAACAGAATTTTAAACAGAAACATTTTCTTGAACAGAGGCTACATCTTGAAGATAGAGGATGTCTTCAAAATGACCATCACCTCCCTACTGGTGGCACTGTACCTTACCCAAATGAGCATGGCCATGGCGGTCACTGCCAGTAGCTAGAATTAACGTTAGGAAAGCAATTGGTGCATTTTGACACAACTAAATCCCAAGAAGACGAATTAAAGGGAGAAGAGCCAACACCATGTGCCTCACTGGTCCCGACCCTTCACTTGTAATATCGACAAGAATCCCGAACCTTGGGATCTACCTTGGGATGGTTCATCTGTTGAAGAGGCTGGTTGGGTTAGTGTGTTAGTGACCTCCTTGCAATCTCATAGGATTATATTTTTTTTTTTTTTTAACAGACAGACACATTGCAAGCAAAATAGTCTCCTTTCAGGTTAAACTCTCTTATCTCTTGCTAGGTGCTTTCTGCAAAAGAGCTTCCAAACTAAACATTAGGGCTTAAAATTTCTGTGCTCAAATACAAGCCTGTTTCTCATGCTTCACAAATGTATTTTTTTAAACTGGAGAATGGATACATATTAGCAGCTCAAGAACTTAAAAATATATTTTGTGATGTATAAGCCTAGCAAAATATTTTACATCGGTGATACTGGAAGGAGGTTATGCAGAAATCCAATTAAACTTATGAAATCCCTATCCTGTTGAAGTATAATTTAAAGGAAAGCAGTTCTGTTTCCCAGAAGTGCTGTGTATAATATTTCTGGCTTGGGAAGAAAGGGTTGGAGTGTGCTATTTGGCTGGAAATCGGTACCAGCTTCCTCCATGGTGTTTTAGTTGAACAGTGTTGACATTCTAACAAATCCCGTGGAAGCTCCCCTGAAGTGGAGGAGTTAGCTGTTTTCTTGCTTTTACAGTGAAATATCTGTTTGATACCGCGATCGTGTTCCAGTAACCAAGCCGTACTGCTTTCGTATTTGATGACCAGTGGCATTCTTGGTTTAACACTCTATAGAAGCCCTAAATTGCTGGAGGAAAACCAAATATTTCTGAAACTTTACAGCTACTGTATTTTGCACAATCATTAAAGTAAACAAATCTTACATTACTTTGTAGCCAACGAAAACAGTGGATAAAGGGTTCAGTGTCCCTTGTTGTGTATACCTGCCTATTTTAAAAATAAATCTTCAACCCCAGATTTCTCAGCGCTTTAAAGTCAGCATAGCAAAGAAGTAGGATCACTTCAGAAAATATGTAATGTGAGGCTCTTTTTCCCCTGCCGCAGGAACTTAAACCAAATTCTTACTTCTGCTAGATGACAAAAAGCATGTGTATAGGTTGAGAGAGAGAAAATACTACCAGCTAGTTGTTCTTCTGCTTTCTTTAAAGGAGTGAAAATAATCTCCACCTTCTTTTTTTTGCCCCCCTTCCTCCTTGCCCAAAAGGAAAACATTTGAAATTGATTCAGTTCTTAAATAGAACTTTCCAACGGAAACTAGCATTACAAACATAGATATTCAGTATTTTACCCCTAGGATTTATTCAAAATAATCCGGGCCTCTACGTTGGCGCTAAAAATACATTTTCCAGTTCTCACTGTTGGCCAAAGCAGGGGTTAAAAGCAGCGTTCTGGCTTTAATTTCCAGTACATAAAAGTAACACTGTTAAAACAATCTGTGTAAGGCACCGGCTCATTCCCCTCCGTGCATCCCCTGAGCGCTGCTCGGTTTAGCTCAGGTCTGCAGAAGGCGGATGGCGAGGAGGAGCGGTGCTGTTCTGCATGGCACTGCCTAACTTTTCCCCTGAGCAACACTGTTGCCCAGGAGGATTCGTGGCTGTGGCAGGCGGTGAAGTGACCGTGACAGTTGGGTAAGTTTTGAGATAGTGTCTCTGGGAACTTGGGTCCCCTGGAGTTTGATAGGGGTCTGGCCATTGCATTCAGCATCAACATAGAAGCTGTGGTGCCCAGCAAGGCACAGGATTCACTGCTGCCCTGACTGCTGGCGGTTTGTATGCCAGCAGCCTTCGTATCACCTGCTGATGCTGCTTGCAGGTTAAAAAAAAAGCTTTAACGGGGGACAGCAGTTTTGTTTGGGCTCAGACAAGGTCAGGTACCACCTACACGGGACAACTTTGAGACTGTTTTTTCAGTACAGTGTAGTCCAACACTCGGTGAAGTTGCACATACTTCATACAACCTCGATGCCGGGCTCAGAAACTGTGATTTTAATCTCCTGGTCCCTGTTCCGGTATGGTCTGGATATTCCTATGCTTTTGTTTACTTAGTGCTATTTTCCTGCCCTCTTTAACATTTCTCTCATTCCTCATGTAATTCTGCAAAGTGGATAAGCAACCATTTGGAGTATGTAGAGGCCTGACTATGTATGTGCTTTCTCTGGGCAGTTAGGATGGGGGGATCACAAGACTGGGAGTTTAGCATCGATTATAATATGGCAGTTTTAAGTGAAGGCTTTTAAAGAAGTCCTGTTTTAACTCAGACCAGTACAAGTTTGGAGCCTATATGGGAGAAAAAGGAGATAGAAAGGAGAATAAGAAAGAAATACACTGGCTTCTAGTGAAGGTGCGTTGAATGCAGTAGTAATGCTTTTGTGCAACCTCCATGTGTGCACGTGTGTTTTAACACAAAGTGTTCATGGAAGATCTCCCTGGTGCTATGCCTGTGGATCAGCAGTGCAGTCTTTTACAGGCTGCAGTATTAAGCCAGTTTAAATACATCAAGGATGGTGTATATCGTGCAAAAGATCCCTCACTGAATAGAGACCTTTCCTGTCAGTCTGCCATGAAGACCAAATGTGTTATCTCCACTGACTTCTCTGATGCTAGAAAAGCTTTACACACTGGCTTTGAATTAAATCTGTATTTTAACCTACAGTATATGTTGCATGGAGCAAAAAAGAGTCCTATATGATAGATCATTACGGTCTTCAGTCAGCATCAGACAGAGTAAATTCAGCCAGGATAGAAATTTGTAGTAATTTGTATTCTGATTCGCCATCCACCAAATAATTTTGAACCCTGTGAGAGGTGATGCCAGGCTGTAAGGTTGTTTTTCTTAAGGGCTGATATGTTTCCGCTGTGATTTCAATAAATCCCCGTCGCTGTTTGTGCAAAGAGGTGGCTGTTTGGTTGGGTGGTTAGTTTTTCTTGTAGAGGTCTGGTTCTGGTTGTGATGGTGCTGCCAACATGAAGTCATGTCCCCATTGTGATCAAAGGGCTGGTTCTGCTCTTAGTAGTAGACGGAAAGTTACTGGTTAGTTGATCAGAAGAAGCAGTAAGAACTCCCAGACAAAAGCAGTTTCATAATTTCTTCTGAATGATAAATTAGCGTCTCTGAAGTAATGTTTTAGAGTTTCTCAAATGGTGTTCTCTGCATAACTGATGCAGAACAAACAGTCAGCTTGCAGGATACTGGTTTCTGTCTTTCTTCTGCGTGCTCGTGTGATGGTAAAACAGGGAAAGGTAGGAGTCAGTCCACCGTTCGGTAGGATTGAGACTGTGAGGGTAAAGGTCTGAGACCAATGGAGAGGGAGAAGATCTGTAAGATGTGTTCAAAAGGACTTTTTGAAAAGCTCAGCCGTGGTCTGATTCTGCTCCAGATGAAGCTACTGCCAAATGAAGCTACTGCCGACTGCTTTGATAAACTCCGTTTTCTTTCTCTTCTTGCCAAATGGGTCAAATTAATATGAAGGATGTAGATAGCAATCCACTCTCCCAACTGAAAGGTGTTTTTGTCAACCAACGTCAAGCAATAGCCTATAAATAGGCAATCTTAGCCACTTTATTTATATGAAGCTTGCTTGTATGGTGACATCATGTCCATACCAGCTCCCGAGCAGGTGTATGTACACGCGTAAAATTCTGGTTTCACACAGGAGTCATCTTGGCTTTGTGGCTTCGTATTTCTCCCATTTCAACAAACACCTATAAATTACAGGCATGCTTAAAATACCACGTTTATAGTTCTAAAATGGATGAATGCAAATATTTTAGGTGCTTGGGCCGGTGTATTCAAGACTAGCTGGATACTTCGAAGTTGTGTTCAGAGCTACTGTAACACAGCAAGTTTACAGAGGCACTGTGCTCCCCCTACAATCAGTAGAGACTGATGGAGACGGCAAGCACTTGACACCTCTAAAATATGGTTATTTAAGCACCTGATTGTAGACATTTAATTCTGAAAACGGGTGCTTTGATCTTTTAGGTGCTTTCTCCTATATATAGCTAGCCCAAACCAGGATGCCGCAAGTTTTTATTGCCCCTGACATTTTAGAAAATACTATCCCGGTTGTGTTTATAACACACTGTGCTCCTTTCTTCACACATCAGAAGCTCTTGAACAGATCTGCACACTACAAAGATTCTTTATAGAAATCTTCCTTCCCATTTCAGACCTCTTAAAAAAAGCTCTGTATAACTTAATTTATCCATTTTTAAACGGTGCAAGTCTAAGTTATAAACTAGGCTGGATTGTCATGTGAGACTGCTTTTTTTTTTTTTCCTACTCCCTCTAATACTGAGACGAGTGTAAAGGAGCATATTTCAGTCTCATGCAGTTTTTTTATCTCTGTATTTCTGTACCGTAGCTGTCTCCAGCTTGTATGTTGGAAAGTTTCTTATGCTTACTGAGGTATTAAATCACAGATTCAAGAGCAAAATTCACTGAAAAAACAAAGGGACTTTTAGTTTGGGGCCTATTGAGTAGAGCTGTGAATAATTAGGAAATGTCAGCTCCTGTTCTGTCATTTATTTCTTCTTTAAATTGAAGAGCAGTGCCATTCAATGTGATCTTGCATCCGTTTTGTCCCGAAGAGTGACAGCTGACAGTCTCATTTCTCTGTGCTCTCTTTCAGGTGAGAAACCGTACAAGTGCACATGGGAAGGCTGCGACTGGAGATTCGCTCGCTCGGATGAATTAACACGCCACTACAGGAAGCACACGGGGGCAAAGCCCTTCCAGTGCGCTGTCTGCAATCGGAGCTTCTCCCGCTCCGATCACCTGGCTCTCCACATGAAGAGGCATCAGAACTAAAAGCTGGACTTGTCGTTGAGGCGGTTCTGTATCTATGCAATTTCCTATTGACTCTCGACCTACAACTAAAATTAGTTTAATTTTTGAGTATGGGTTATCCATTCAAAAAGAAATCTCAAAAGAAACTGGAAATGTATATTTTGTATATTTATGCAGAAAAAGGGAAGACACTGTATCACAATACCAGAGTGTTTGGTCGTTTGTTTGCTCTCATGATGTATATGGCTTTAGTCAGCAGATTTCATCTCTTTACAAGTATTGTGTCTTGACACATTGCAGCTTTATACATTTTTTTTTCTCTTGCGGTGTTTTGACCAAAGCACTGTCATTATTGTGACAATGTTTAGTAAACAAATTAATGAGAGGCTGCAGATGAATGAACACAGTGGAAAAGCCATGAATTGTAATCTGTCAGGTTTTTACTGGACATACTTAGTACTTGTGGGGTTTTTTTTTAATGTTAAGTCGTTCTGTGGAGTAAAGTACATACATAGAAAAACTCATAAACAGCCATAGAACAAAATATTTTGTTCTTTATGTTGCATGTTTGCTATGACAAAGATTTTGTAAATATGCAAATCAGCTTTTTAGGTTTAATACAAAAGTTTTCTAAGAATCTTCTGAAAAAAGCAGTTGTTTTACATTTGATAACATGGCACATTTACAAAAAAAGTTATTTAAATACCTCTCAAAACAGTACCAACTTAGCTTCATTTTTCTTAAGAGAAATGAGCTAAGCATTCAAATGTTTTGTACCTGTTAACTCAAACGGCGTGCACTGAATATTCAAAGCAGGATTTTGTTTTCAAATTGCATAAAAGGGCAAAACACGTAGAGTGAATTGTAAAGTCAATGTTGGAAGCTTAAATATCGGGGATAGTTACGGTGAACACAGAATGTTAAACCTCTTACTATAAGCTAAACTTAGTATCACTTTAAAAAGAAGGATTTAGGATGCAATTTTCATATACAGACATGTTAAGCTGGTTCAGCACCAGTATGATCTAGTTTCATGTGGATATTGCATGTAATTTACGAGAAGGTAATACAGTAATTTTGTTTAAAATTACAGTGCAGTTTAGTTAATCCACTGTTCAGAGTGACACACGCAGGGGAAAATTTACTGCTGACAAAAGTAGCTGAAACTCCACTGAAGTCAACGAAGTGGTGCCCTTTTATTCTAACAATGACTTTGATCCACCGTGTTCAGCCTTGAAATAGTAGATGAAGGGCCAAAGATGAGGTTAGACCGTGTAGGATTTGGCCAGACAACAGGAGGAAACCAAACAAACCTAGTAAGTGTCTGGACTTCACAAGCTGTAATATTAAGCTGTCAACCAAAGGCTAGAATAGACAATCAAAATACCAAAAAAGGGTCTTGCAGGAAACCTAGCTTTGTTAAAACTGTTGTTTGTCTTTATTTATTTTGTGGTATACGATAGACTCTTTTTTTTTTTTAAGACGATTTTACATATACTTGATAAATTATAGTTTTGTTTGTTATAGTTAGAAATGTTGCTCTTAATGTAAATAGTTGACAAACGATGTAAATAATTTTGTAAGGCTTCAAATGTTTATACGTGGAAACACATGCATAAATTGGTTGCTGTTTTGCTTCTTTTGCCTCCCCCCTACCTTATTTTTGTATTGTGGTATTTCCTATGCAAACGATGGAGCAAACAGCTGTATAGTTGTAGAATGTTTTGAGAGAGAATGAAATGGTTTATATATAAAGACTCCTTTTTTTTTTTTTTTTTGCAAAATAAAACAAAGTGCCTAATGTGTGTGTGTGCGTGCGTGTGCTCTCTGTAGCTCCTGACAATGAAAGTTCTGTGGTTTTGTGCTGGAAGCTGGAAATGATGGCAATATTAAGCTAAGAATGTCTGTTCTTCATAGCAGGGATTGTCTCTTTGGAAAGTACCTGGCACTTCTGCATCCTGCCCTGATGAAGATAAAAAACATGAAGGGATAAAGGATGGTGTTTTTCTGCTATCAGAACTTAAAGGAAGTGTATGGTAGCCTGAAAATGGTTGCAAAAGTCCCTCCTCAGTAGCGTGGTTGTAAATTAAAGGCACCCATTGAGTGCATAGAAGAAGTATCAAATTCTCTCCCACTCTCAAGCTGGGTAAAACCTATTCATGCTCATCTACATCATTGCCCAAAAGGAGTTACTCCCCCAAAAAGTTCCTTTTATGCTCTAGAAAGACAGGAGGGTTCCATAGCAGCACGATGGAGTGACCCCCCAAGCAATGTCTCCTTTTCAGTGTCTTTCCCTGGGAAGTACGGTTCAATTGAAAAATTCAAGTGGATGTCATGTTCAGATCTGGGGGTTACATATGTCTTCTCATCCTTTGAGCTTAAAGAAAAGAGGCATGCTGAGCTTTTAAAGAGAAGTTTATCTTAAAACCAATAAAAGAGTCCACTTAAATATAATTTACTACCAAATTATAATAATCCATTCAAAATTCTGTTGTTGTCTTGTAAACTCGCTCCTAAATCCTTTCTGGGATTTCTCTGTTCTTTCCTTACAACCTAACTTTGATTTTTCTTTAATGGATTTTTCTCTCTTAATTAACCTCTCCCACATGTCAGCTAATCCCTCCTTTTAAAAAACACCTAGGATAGCATTAACAGAGCCAATGAAGACCTGGTTAATTACCATGAAAACCTGCCTGCACCTCACCTGACTCTGCACAACCGCAAACGCGAGAGCGGTGTTTTGGGGAATGGGGCGAGAGAACTCCCAGAAGCGCCGCTGCCCTTTCCTGATCCAGCCGTGAGAAAAACGCTCGGGTTTCTTTGGAGAGTTTCTGCCGGGAGGGGAGGCTGGCAATGAATCGGGAAACCATTCCTCTGCTGTCGCGGAGAGCTACCGGGGTTTATTTTGCTGAGCATGGGGTGAAGTGGGTCACAGCGGCGTTGCGGGGGACTCAGAGCCGCCAGCCTCCCTGGTTAGCTCAGCCCAAACGGTTTGGGGTGGGACCGGTGGTGGGTTTGGGAGCTCCTTCTCATCTCTCGCCGTGAATCTTCTCTCATCCTGTGCTTTGTCTTCAGTCCGCTCGCTTCTGCATTTCCCATGCCTTTTCACAACGAAAGCGTGCTGATTGCGTGGTTTCAGCCTCCAACATTGCCTCATACCTGTTTTAGATGTTTCTGTTGCTCAGCTACCTGGTTGCATAAACCAGCTTAATGGCTTCGTATTAATCTTGAATGAAAGGCCATAATTAGGCCCATCTACTGCAGCAAATGCAAACAGAGACAGGCACAGCAGACCCGTGCACCAGAATACATTACAAAACCAAACGCAGAGAAGCTTTCTTCACTGGCAAGCGCGACGTCTGCAGCGCACGGAATTAATGCAGTAGTTGAACAGCATGGCTGATCTCCAACCCTGCGAGAAACAGCAGCGTCACCGTAGCCCTCGCTTGGCTCGTTTCAAGCAGTCGGCGCAGAGTCCCCCCAAGGTACTGAGGCCCCCCTTCAAATTTAACTCTCCAATTATCCTTCAGAACCCGCATTATCATTCCATACCAAGAGGGAAACTCCAGTTGGCCAACTGGCTTTTCTGGTGGCCACGTGAACACCCAGTCCTCCTCTTGACTGGGTGCCGAGTTCCTTCCTGTGGTTTGCAATGTGAGTTTAGGGCCTGATTCCTCCCCAGAAGTGCCTCTGTTCTCACATGAGAACCTTGTGGCCTTCGTTACATGGGATCCTTGCCACGGATCCTTGTTTTGATCTGGTCGGTATGGTGGCAGGAGGCTCCGCCATGCTCTGCGACTGCAATAGTGGTGTTGCTGTTGACCTTCACGAAAGAGAGTCCAGCTCGACAACTGACTATTAGCTGAAAGAATGTGGTGGATTACTCATGCGCTGAATAATGCATCCTGGCACTTTGAGTGTATCAGGACAGAGGGAATTTGTTGGCCACTGGAAGTAGCAGAAGCAGCCCGATGGGTATGCTTTTAATAAAGCCACTTGCATACTTCACTTGTGTTTACTTATTCCTCTTCTCCTCCACTACTAACCACGAGGTGATTGTTGTCATCTGCTGTGTTTCCAGCACCCTCACCAGTGCTGCTTCTCTGGGGTTTGGGATTTTAGCTGACACAGCCCACTGGAGAAGCCTACGGAGACCAGGCAGGGTCTGGTCTTGTCTACGGCGAACAAAGGCCCATCCACGGCAAACGAAGAGTGCTGTGGTTACTGAGATTCCTTTGATGTTGTTATTGTGCTTTTTAAAAATAGCTACTGTTTATATATAAATATTTATGCAAATATGTATTGGCGCGTGTGTGCGCGCTCGTGCCCGTGCATTCATTTGCGTATTCAGTTCAATTCTGCATCCTGGCAAGTCCTCGCTTTCAACAACGTGTCACGGCAGTGAGCTCCACAGCTTAGCTGAGGAGCAGATGGGGGAGGAGAAAATGGGCGCTCCTGTGTCTCCAAACCAAATTTCCAAACAACTGGGGAAACAGAAAGGTCCTGTTTTCCCCGCTATGCGCACTGGACTGAGGAAGAAACGCAACAATGAATTTCTTTTTCCAGGGAGTAGGTTATTTCTTTGTTTTGAAGTCTTCTAAATCTGAGAGAGCGCGAGCAAGCTGTGAGGAGAGAGAAGGACAGTTATATTGCAGAAGCCGAGTGAATTCACACTTAAAAAGAGAGCAACTCTTCAGCTCAGCAAGTCAAAAACGTGAATTATTTCTGCAGGAGGACCCGTGCAGGTGGCAGCAGATGGTATCCTGAAATTAGGTCTCAGGTGTAGCTTCTCAAAGCGGACTTCTTCCTCCCTTAGCTCAGCTTTTCCTTCCTGCTCTCTGCCTGGCCCCGTTTGTGCTGCCCATCAGTCTCAAGGCTTAATTCGTATTTCCCGTTGCCCCCGCAGCTCCAGCTGCTGCTGCTGCTCCTTCCCACCCCACCAGCCGGCTGCCGGTGATGGGCTTGGGCTAGTGCTGCCTCTGCCCCTGCCCGCACGCACCCCACTGCTGGGATACACACATCTCACCTGACTCGGGCTTGAACTCGTGGCATAAAGAATAACAGGGCGGCTTGTTTACTTTCTACCAGTCTCCCTGCATTGTGTTGCGGCTCTGGGGGCAAACTTCCTTTTTTCTTTTTTTTTTTTTTTCCTTTATGTACAGTGCCTGTGTCAATACATAAGACAAGCTATTACTACGTCCATAACGACTTTTGCACCCAGTGTGATTTTTTTTTTTTAAGTCTCGGGAAGCTGATTAGAGCCTTCTCCCTTCCCGTGGGATCGAGCAAAGGCAGCCATGCCAAAAGGAGGATTCTCGCACTTCTGTAGCAGCCGCTCAGGAACGTTCAGCCTGTTCAGCGTGGAGTCATGGGGTTTCCAACCTTGCTTTTTGTGTTTTTTTTACTGTGGCAGAGTCAGTTCAACGGCTTCGGCTACAGGAAGCTTTAGGAAAATGTGGTTTGCCTCTTTCTCAAGAACTGAGGAGTCACATTGGCTGATTGGCCATCTCCTCTGCCTGGGAAATCAAAGTCTGAAGTCTCTTCTAAATAATATCCCCAAAGGCCATTTCTCTTCCCAGCCTCAGTTGTTGTTTCTGTTTATACTTGTTTTGTTTAGCTGGCTATTGTTATTGTGGTTTGTCAT